TTTTATTAGCAGTAATTTTACAGATATTTCATCACTAATCGGGTGATTAATAGAACTCCGATTGGTGAATTTTAAATAAAGTTGGTAACTAATCGGTTAATTTATATTGGTCTAAACGTAATAATTCATCAATTATCTGTAATGTATATTGCTGTATTGAACTAGTTCCTAACTAGTTCAGGACCAGGACGAACTGGGACCGTACATTTAACATCCCTATACATGACTGTGAGATAACTTCATGCACCTTGCGCAAGATGATGTCAACCTTGTGTGAAATAAAATTACTCGATTAAGATAATTTTAATAATCAGCGAGTTATCAATTAAATAATATTAAATAATATTAAATAACTACGTTCTTATTATGTCATATTATTAATAAGTTTTTTACATGTCTCACATAAAATCGCGCAAAATCACGCAATGTAATTTGGCGTGAGGTTGTGAATATATGCTAGTTTGACCTCGCGCGAGGTACAGGGACATAGAATTTGTGATATAAAAATTTGAAAATTATGTATCGGTATGTTTATTGCTGATTAAAGATGAAGTTCGAATTTAATGATGTTTATGAAGCAAATAATAAATATGCAAAATTTTATCTCGTAAAAAAATAAATCCTTTTTATAAAAAAGTTTCACTAAAACGGAATTAAATCCGTTTTTAATAAAAAAAATTATCAAAGGTTGATTAATTAAAATTTTTTTTTGACATGTGAATTTTGCTATAAAAATGACACCCACGCTATGTAATTAGACATAGAGCACAAATATTTATTCAAATATTCGCTGAATGACTAGGATTATTCGAATAATTATATTATTTGGATGTTTATTTGTAACTAATTTATAATCCCGACGCTTTTATTTCATTTTCTGATTTTGAAATTTAAAGATACAATAAGATTTTTTTAAACTCCCACTTATTTTTGAAATAAGTTAATTTTAAAACACCCTATCATTTGAAAAAACTTAAGTCTGATATTTCTAATTTTAAAAGTTTTAATAAAAATTCAAAAATTTCATTTCTCGATCGGACCAAATTTTTTCAAATATTTTTAAGATATTACATAACTGATAAAAATTTATTATTTAGTTAGACTTAAATATAGCGCACAAATAAATATACTTTTTATTATCCCTTAGTTTGTATGTAAATTCGAGGCAATTTTGCCTCGAATTTTTTTAATAAATTTAAATTAAATTTTTTTTTATACCTTGAACTAATAATATATCTAATATTAATTTTTTTAAATATTATCTGCTATTATCAATTATTAATTCATTTAAATCTTCTACGCTCTTAATAACTTTATCCATATCTTTAGTATTTTCTAAATTTTGTATAAATTTCTTAATATTCTCACCAACGTTTTCATAATCAGTAATATTTTGAATAGGAAACCACGAGCTCTTAATCTAGCTAGTTCAGTATAGCCACCCGTTTTTGCAACTACAAAAACTCTAAACGAAATTTGAGGATGCCTAATAAGCGATAAGATTAGTTTATACTAATAAGTTAATTCAATTAAATAATATTTAAGTGTAGTTTTAATTTAAATTGTTAAGTAATATTATTACCATGATATTGCATTCTGGATCTTCATTAATCGCCCTTTACAACATTACTATGATTTGCATTATCTTCTTCATAGTTTTTGCATTGTACTAAAAAGGAATAACCTTTATATAAACAATGAAATCGATTCTATTGTCTCTAAGGTTGCCGGCCGTAATAATTACGGACATTACGAATTACAATCTGGGTTGCAACCCTAATTACAACTAATACCCAAAGTTGTAAATATGCCGTAATGGTTATAACTGTCGTAATGCCGTAATTATTGTAATTGTCATAATTGTTGTAAATGCCATGATAGGTTGTAATTATCGTAAAAATATAAGTAATTGTGTCTTGTACGTCCTTACAGACGTGTAATAGCTTACCAAATTTAATTACGTGTGAACAAAAATCGACTCTTATACTTTAAAATTTTAATTAGTCGGAATTCGAATAAACTAATCAAGAGTTATCCGAATAAACGAATCTAGAGAGTTATCCGAATAAACTAATCAAGGGAGTTATTTAATAAAATATGGAGATGCTACTATAATCAGCCAATCAAATTTGAAGGATCGACAACCGGATCGACAATAAATTAGATGGATATTTAATCATGCTGTTCGCGATTATCATAATTTTAACAAAGAATGATACCACACATTATCGTTTTCATATCCGGAAACGGTTCTAATCTTCAAGCAATAATTGATGCAGTACAGTCGGCAACCCTTAAATGTAAAATTGATTTGGTAGTTTCTAACCGAAAATCAGCTTATGGCTTAACACGTGCAGAACAAGCTGGAATTCCTACACTAGTTTTTCCCTTGAAACCTTATAGAGACGCTGGAAAAACTCGTATAGAATATGATATAGATTTGGCTAATAAAATTAGAGATTACAAACCCGATTTAATTGTCCTTGCAGGATGGATGCATATTTTATCCAAAGAATTTTTAGACCATTTTAACGATAATATCATTAATATACATCCGGCTCTACCAGGTCAATTTGATGGTGCAAATGCTATCGAAAGAGCTTATGAGGCATTTAAAAAAGGGGAGATCACAAAAACTGGAGTTATGGTTCATAAAGTAATTCCAGATGTTGACAAGGGAGAGTCGTTAATAATTGAAGAAGTACCAATATTTGAATCTGATACTTTGGAAGATTTAGAGGAACGAATTCACTCAGTGGAACATAGGGTAATTGTGCAGAGTATCAAAATTTTTTTTGGATTCAACTAGGGTTACGACCTAATCCTTTTTGTTTGAATTATGACATTATACAGAATTTGGGTTTGGGAATCAGGATAACCAAAACCCAAATATGTCCTATTTTTCGTTAGTAGTATACCCAATTTGTTAGATTAATGCTAAAATCATTAACGTTAATACCACGAATAAAGTGATTTAGCGACTAAGCAGGGTATATTGAATAAAAATGTTATATTAGGTCTAATAGTTATATCAGATATGGATAAATAGGTGTATATAATTACAAAAGCGAAAACTTTTCTCATCTAAAATAAAACTTCAAATACTGTAATAACCTTCAAGTATGAATGTTTATAGTTTTTAAAAAGTACAATCCTTAGTAAAAAATCGATCTTTTATATCGATAATTGATAAATGAACAAAAGCTCTGTTAAAGACACCGAAAAGAAAGAATCGAAGATTAGCAAGAAAAAAAAGTATAGAAACATATACTAATATTGGCTAACTGTAACTGATTATGATCTAACTAAATTTATACTTATCTTAACAAGAATAAGCATATTATAAATGTCAAAAGTATTTGACATTTATGCGAAACCTAATAAATACATATTTGGGATTCCATTGGGTCGCAAGATTGAAATTTATTTCAATTAATTTCGAATTAATCAAAACATTAATATTTGATAAATTACGTTCTGTAAACTACATGAAGGGTAGTAAGTAATCAAATATAATCTAAAGCAATTCAGCTTAATTTTTTTATGATATTTAGATTAAATAATTTAGGGAATTGCTATTGCCCACCTCCCCATTTTTGCTAATGCCACCTCCTAAATACAAAAAAGTGTTCTGGAAGAGATATAATTATTAAGTAAATCTCTTTGTTGGTATTAATTAAAGTTGTTTATTAGGTCTTTCCGGTTCTAATAGTGTAAAATCATTAAAATCAGACCGGTGGTTCTTTTTTAAAAGTGAATTAAAGATTATAAAATTTAGATAAAATATTTAAGAACCACTGGTCTATTAGAACCGGAAAGACCTAATAAACAACTTTAATTAATACCAAAAAAGAGATTTACTTAATAATTATATCTCTTCTGGAGCACTTTTTTGTATTTAGGAGGTGGCATTAGCAAAAATAGGAAAATTTAAGAAGATTAATCAATTTTTAAGAGCATTATTATTAAAAACATGTTCTCTATTTGAGAATATCCTTGATATTGTATTAAAAAATATTGAACTTTCCTATAAGTTACAAATTTTTTTTGAAATTAAATTTTGAGCACTGGTCACGAATTTTTTTTATAATTCTATTGGCTCATTAAAAACTATATACCATCACTGTGCCATTGAACTTGCAGCATTTAGTTTTATTCAAAATGGAAGACAGCAATGCAAATGCAAAAAGAAAGCGTACTCTCGATATTGTAGTCGATACACCTAATAACTTAGATCTGGACACCTATATTGCGAATTATAAAGGTTGGAACTACAAATCTTTTGTTTTTTGTTTTCGAAAAAGTTCTAAACTAAGCACGATTATAATTTCTTTATCAATGTTATAGGACACACCAAAGTTGATCGTTTGCTTTTTATAGCAAAACGATGCCCTCCGCTACAGATAGATGCGTACAAACTTGCCTTGCAAGAACTACGCGATAACTCCCTAGATCATAACAAATATATTAATACTGCTAATAAACTTAATGAAGTTCTAGCATCTCAAGGATATCCCTCGTATCCTGTGGATAACGCGTGGGTTGAAACGACACAAAAACGCGCCAAGGCTGTATTGGAAAGGTTAGAGGTTGAGTTGAAAAATTTTAAGAACAATCTAATAAAAGAAAGCATAAGGGTAATATATCAGAAATAATAATAAATATATATTTCAATGCTAGTGAATCTGTTAATTGATTTTTAATAAATCTTATAGATGGGTCATAATGATCTCGGTGATCATTATTATAATTGTGGAAATCCAACTAATGCTTTAAAGTGTTATTCAAGAACAAGAGATTATTGTACTACGTCAAAGCATGTTATAGAAATGTGCTTGAACGTGATAAAAGTATCTTTTCATATTAATATATTTATTAATTGTGGTTTTATTTTTTTTTATATTGTTAATTAATATTAATATTAATATTTATAATTGTAGGTTTCTATAGAATTGGGTAATTTTTCACATGTACATAGTTATGTTATCAAGGCCGAATCTACACCAGACATTCAACCGGTAGTGCAAGCCAAACTCAAAGTTGCAGCAGCATTGGCGCATCTTGACAGTAATAAATATAAGCAAGCAGCAAATTTGTTCTTGGAAACTAGTTTTGAGATTTCTCATCCTCAAAATAATTATTCTGAGGTAAATCATTCAATAAAAGGAGTGATGGCGTTTCATATTTCAATTTTTTTAATATTAAATAATTTTGACATCCAGGTCATCTCTCCAAATGATATAGCTGTGTATGGTGGCTTATGTGCACTTGCATCTTTTGATCGTAAACAACTTAAAAAACAAGTAATCGATAATACTGAATTTAAACAATTCCTTGAACTTGAGCCTCATATACGAGAACTCATTTATGGATTTTACAACTCGAAATATTCAATTGTATTGGATATTCTAGACAGATGGAAGGTAATATACTTTTTTCATAGATCATGGAATATTTTATCAAAATTTAATAAGTTACTTTCTATTATTATTATATGATAATTAGAATGATTACCTACTTGATCTTCACTTGCACAACCATGTAGAAAGCCTTTATGACAACATTCGTAAGAAAGCGCTGGTACAATATTTCAGTCCTTTCCTTACCGTAGATATGAATAAAATGGCACAGTCTTTCGGGACCACTGTTCCAAAATTAGAAAGAGAACTTGCCAAGCTGATTACAGAAAATCATATTCAAGCGCGGATTGATAGTCACAAAAAGGTTTTTAATGTTTTGTTTTCTTTACAGATTAAGCATTATTGTTAATCGCGTAATAAAATTAACTAATTTTCCCTATTTTTATTGTAAATAAAAGATTCTATGCGCCAAACAACAAGATCATCGTAGTGGTATATTTCAAAAATCATTAAAGATGGGGGATGAATTTGAACAAAGTACCAACGCAATGTTACTTCGTATGAATTTGTTGAAAACAAATCTTATCGTGCAAACCAATCAGAAGTATATATAATCTTATTATTTGTTTTTTTTCGTTTGATTTGAACTATAAGAATGACCAAATTTTATTTATCTTGTTAGGGGAGAAGGAAGTAGACGTCATAATTAGGGTTACAAGTGGATGCAATTTTATCACCTGTATGATTTTGAAATCTGATGTCAGGATAATCCTATAAAAAAATATGTAGTGATACTACCTGCAAATAAATTATATCGCTCACATAATAATAATTATTTACATAACAATGAATAATCATGATCCACATAATGACTCTTAATCCAACCGTCAATGGCCTAGTACTATATCTGGTTATTATAATCGCATGTGTAAAAACATTTTCCTTCCACATACAAAAATTCCTCTCAAATTCTATATACAGTAGTAACGCAGTCCCGAATATATTTTTAATTATTGTCCAAAATAGATTATCTTAAAATTTTAAAACCTCAACTTTGCCTATGCACAACACTGCAGTAACTATCACCATAACGAATAATACATACATTATGAAAAGCTACTACCCATCACGTCCAAGGCTCGAATGCATGACAATCTAACCCGAAATACATATTTTGAGTTGAACGATTAAAGAAGTCAAAATTACAAAATTCCGGTCAGATTTAAGGTCGGATTTGATCGGAATGAATCGGTATTGTATTTTTACAAGTGATACACCAAAAAAAAAAAAAAAAAAAAAAAAAAAAAATATGAAAAAATTAAGTATTTTATTAATAAAACATTGAATTTACGACGTTAGGGTAGGGTTTATAGTTCAGTTATTATTATATAAGGAATTTTTTTAATTAGACGCAAAAGGTGGTTTCTTAGTCAAAATTTAAGGCTACGGGCGATTTTGAAAAGTTTTCGATTTCATGTTACACCAACGTTGGTGATTTCCGATCATCCGATATAGACCGATTAGTTCAGGATTATAGTTTTAACAGCCACACTAAGCTTGTTGGTGAAACTAATATATTTCACCAGATAGACCTGGTGAAACTAAAAAATTAAAGGTGCAACTTAATGGTTAAATTAATAAAATAGTAAAATTAATAATATTGGTGATATGGTGAAACTAATAAGATTGGTGATATGGTAAAACTAATAATATTGGTGATATAGTAAAACTAATAATATTGGTGATATAGTAAAACTAATAATATTAGTAATATGGTGTAACTAGCATATCCTAAATCTGTAACGGGTTATACTAATAATGTTAATTCACCTGTCTGACCCTTACTTTAGCGTCAGTCTTAAAACTGTATCCTGATTTATTTATTTATTTATTTAATTAAACTTTGAGTAATTATTAATAAGCTTCGATTATGTAATTATTATAACATATTCAAATAAGAGAGTATATAATATACGATCAATATATATACTTCTTTTGCTCTTTCACTCTTTTGCTCTTTCATCTAAGTAGTTTTTTTTTTTTTTATCTGTTATTTAAAAAAAACTAGTAATTTCTATAATAATAAATATCAGTATACAAAAAATTGAT